AGAGAGAGAGAGAGAGAGAGAGAGAGAGAGAGAGAGAGAGAGAGGGGAGGGGAAGGGGGAGAGAAGAAGGGATAGCAGGGAGAAAAATTTAAATGTATAACAAGATTAAAGAAGTTAATTGTCAATAATTCTATCAACGTTGTTTAAGTTAATATATAATATTAACGATAAATTTTGGGATACAGTTTCCATATGTAGGACCATACAAATTTATCCAGATTGAGACGAAATATTAAGTTAATATTATTTTTAATGACTCATTTGGCACATTAATATAATGTTTTTATTGACTCGAAAAAATATTGTAAAATGCAATTTTTAAGTCTAATTAAAAAATTATAAATTTGATGAAGACCTTTTATACATTGTAAATATAATATAATACATATTGTAGTCTGTAAAAATTAGTATAAACGAATTTATTAATTTTGCGAAAATCACTCTATACATATATTATAATGTTATTCATTATAAATTTTATTCTTTACATTTTTACCTAATTTTATTAAATTTTACAATGTTGTTTTTTTTTTCAGAACTTATATTAATAAACACATTTGTTTACTGGCAGTTTAATTATAGTCAGAGAACAGTTCGCTTTCGTTCTTACAACTCACATAGAAATTTTACTCGCATCGTAAACATAACCGTAGAACTCGGCTTTCTGTGTTTCTGACTGTAGGGAATATTGTAACCCACGGAAATCCCCTAAAACAATAAAGCCTTTTACTATCGCCATTGAAAACAAAGTTTCTCGGTATTAAAGCTGAAACCAGGAAAAGTATCTACCTTTTCTACCTTTTTGAATGCTGCGAGGGCAACATGTTGAGAAAATTGGACGACCCTTTGATAGCTGCGCGTATAACGCGAAATCAACAATCGTCTATTTTTATAGTATTTGCAAGTGAAAATGTTTTGGATGTACGTAATATTATAAATTGCGATATACTAACATGGAACTAATATTTACAAAGTTTCTCATTATTTTTCTATCTCTTTCAAGCAAAAAAAGTACTGTCATTAGTACTGTCTACAATGTAAAATACTGCTTGATCTACGATATTCTTATTATACAACACTACGTTAGTTATACCACTTAATTGCATTAGTATTAACTAGAGAAATTTTCACAGAGACTGACTCTCTTCCTAACTTTCTTAAATCAGTAAAACGAAAGAAGAAAATTGCTTGAAATTCATGGGCGAGTGGCCGGTCACTGGTGTCTTTCGTAGTCGTGTCAAAGGGCCGA